CATTGCAAAATCTATAAAGGGAAAGAAAAAAGAAAGTTATAGTTTCCCTGCGTCTATTTACCACATTTGAGGCTATATTTGCCGCTTGAAGGGAAGAAAGTTATAGTTCCCTTGTAGACGCGTACCAATGAAGCGTGACAAATACGCCATACTATACATGGTGAATATTAATTCATTTCAGCTGTGAATATGACAGCTGACCAAAAAAACACGGAACAATCTGTTGATTTGACCACAGATAATACGACTGATTTAAAAGAGTCGATGGCTTCAATGATGTCTGAAATGATGTCGGTCATGAAAGACGATATGCTCAGACAGTTTGAGGAGTACTTTGCCGCTCCTGAGCCTGAGGCCAACACTGGTGATATTGAGGCAAATAGTGATCAACCCTCACCCGATGTGTCGGCTGCCATCGAAAATTATCTACAGCGTCCAGACCCTAATTCGACGTCGAGTGCATTTGACGAGTTAGCTGCTGAATTTTCTACCACAGACAAAACGGGACCGGCAATTGATGACAAACTGGCTAATATTATAAGTGATTTAGTCAAAGACACTTTGCCTAAGACGAAACTGGACGAGGTAATCAATAAATATCCTCGCCCAGAGAATTGCGAAAGTCTGGTTGTACCAAAAGTTAACAAAATTGTTTGGCAACATCTCAAACAAAGTGTCCGAACCACCGACAGTGCCATGCAGAAATGTCAAAAGTTATTTACCTCGGCAATGTATGCCATTATTCAAGCATGTGAGCAAGTCACGGGAGATGTTAGAACGATTTTAACACACGCGCTGGTTCTAGCCATGTCTGGCAACAGAGAATTTAATCTCAGGCGACGGGAGTTACTGCGGCCAAGCCTTAATTCTCAATATGCCACACTCTGTAATCCATCAACACCGATAACCTCCGAATTGTTTGGGGACGATATCAGTAAAGAAATTGATCAAGTGGCCAAAGCTAACCAACTTGGTAATAAGCTTTCCAGTTTGCGCAGAGGCCGTGGGCAACGATATCACCCATATGCAGGATCACCATCGCCACACTACAGCGGTATTGGGCCCATGAGAGGTCAGGACAACAGAGCTCCCGTTCCTCGAAGTTTTCCATCTTTTTTCGGAGGCAGAGGCTCCTATCGACGCCGACTAGGAGCCAAAATGGGTGCAACACAGACAAAACCCAGTCGCAACTAATCACTCCTCACCAGGTTAGTTACAGGGAACATATAGATAAATTAGTTAATAACCAACCACGTTTTGTTGGGGGACAGTTGAAGTTTCACGTAAAACAATGGCAGGACATTACATCCGACCCTTTTGTTTTGCGTTGTGTTAGCAATTGTGCAATTGAATTTGATTATGAACCTATGCCAGCGAGACATATGTCAAATCCAGAATATAAGTTTTCATCCGCTGAGCAACAGGCCATTGATAACGAACTTGCGGAATTTTTGTCAAAAGACATTATTGAACAGTCACATTCTGAATATGGGAAAATTATCTCTCCAATTTTTTTGCGACCCAAAAAGGACACTGGTAAGGTTCGAGTAATATTTAACCTTAAGAACCTCAATAAAGCTGTCACCTATCGCAAATTTAAAATGGACACACTGGAATCGGCAATTAAATTAATGAAACCAGGCTGTTTCATGACTTCCATAGACCTTCGTGATGCCTACTATAGCGTTCCTATCACGCCAGAACATAGAAAATATCTTAAATTTATGTGGCGAGGTGTATTATATCAATTCACATCTTTGCCGATGGGACTTACAAGTAGCCCACGTCTTTTTACTAAAATTATGAAACCTGTGTTTGCTACTTTACGCAGCGATATGGCCACTGTTGTTTGGGCTATATTGACGATTCAATCTACATTGAAGATACGGTAAAGTTATCTGAAGCGGCCACATTAAATGCAACCCAATTGATCACTCGGTTGGGTTTTGTTGTCCATCCGACTAAGTCGATTTTTGAACCCACACAACTTTTGGAATTTTTAGGATTTTTGCTCAATTCTCATACCATGACAGTTACACTAACCAGCAAGAAAGTAGCAAAAATAGTAGCTGCATGTGAACATTTACTAAAACAGACGTCAATATATTATTATTCGAGAACTGGCATCATTAATTGGAACTTTAGTTTCCACGTTTCCAGGTGTTGAGTTGGGGCCCCTACATTATCGCACATTAGAGCATGATAAAGATCTCGCATTGAAAAGATCTAATGGTAATTTCGATTCTGAAATGAGTTTGTCCCCACCTAGTATTGATGATTTGAAATGGTGGGTCTCTTTCCTTCCAACCTCATATCGGACAATCGATCATGGTACCCCACATATCACTATGACAACAGATGCTTCCCAGGTGGGTTGGGGAGCCACAGTTGATGGACACAACACACAAGGACTATGGGACGCCCATGAAACAACATTTCATATCAATATTTTGGAACTATTGGCTATACAGTTTGTGTTAAAAGCTCTTCTTGATAAGGTTCATGATCAGCACATCCGCATTATGTCCGATAATACGACGGCAATATCCTATATAACTTCGATGGGGGATGTCAGTCTAAAGATTGTGATAATATTGCTAGAGACATATGGTCATGGGCTCGGAACAATTGGCTGTCGGCCTCGTACACCCCAGGGAAACATAATATTATTGCAGATAAACTGTCTCGGGAGTTTAACATGACATTGGAATGGCAGTTAAACCCTGCCATATTTGATAAAATATCGTATCATTTTAGTAAACCCGGTATTGATCTTTTTGCTAGCAGGATCAATCACCAACTTGATATTTACGTTTCATGGAAACCAGACCCAGGGGCGTCATTTGTTGATGCATTCACCATTAACTGGGCACTGTTTGATAACAGTTTTGCTTTTCCGCCATTTTGCTTGATTACTAGATGCCTTCAGAAAGTCGTTCAAGAGCAAGCGACCATGATTATTGTTGTACCAATTCAGCTTTATCTGGTTATTTAATGGATACCACTTTTAGCGGTACAAATTATACTATGACGAATCATCCTTTGCTGGTTCGTTACATGAAAGGTGTTTTCAACTCTAGGAAACCAACACCCAAGTACTCTGAAACATGGGACGTAAATGTCGTGCTAAATTATTTGGCAACGTTGTTCCCGCTGGATAAGTTGTCGTTAAAGGATCACTCCTTTAAGCTAGTTATGCTGTTAGCCCTAACATCGGGTCAACGGTGCCAAACGTTGACATACTTAGATATTCAGTCGATGAAAGCGACGCCAGATTCTTATGTTTTCCAGCTTACTGAACATATAAAACAGAACAGACCGGGAAATGTATTCTCTACTTTTCATGTTAGCAAATATCACCAGGAGGAGTTATGTGTCTATCGCACCTTGAAGTGCTATTTGTACCGCACAGCGACATTGCGCAGCAGCACATCCACTAGACTGCTTATTTCATATGTAAAGCCTCATGGTGCAGTTACTACCAATACGCTAAGCAGATGGATCAAACAATTACTTACTTTAAGTGGAATCGATACTTCGATATTTAAGGCCCACAGTACTCGGGCAGCGAGTGTAAGCAAAGTTGCTGCCTTTCTACCAGTTGATGTGATACTAAAACATGTGGGATGGTCATCAGACTGTGTGTTTCGGAAACATTATAATAAACCTATTGTAGATAATAATCTGTTTCAAAATGCCGTGTTACAATAAATGTTTTTGCATAACATGTTTGTGCTGTTGGTTGTGTACACAATTATATATTGCTTTGAAGTCTCATGTTAACCGGAAGTACGTAACTACGGTTTGGTAGAATTGGAAATTAAACGAGCCTTACCTGGAAGGTGATGTTTGATGATAATTCTACAAAGTCCGTAGTTGTACTGAGGGTTAACATGCCCTTCCCTACTTTCCCCGCCCGTGGTTCTAACAAACATCTTTTAATTGCGTCCACAACCGTTTTAAAGTCTGACTCATGGCAACACACAGCGTGCATCTCATGTTAACCCTCAGTACAACTACGGACTTGGTAGAATTATCATCAAACATCACCTTCCAGGTAAGGCTCGTTTAATTTCCAATTATCTATTAAAACTACGTTGTAGTTTAAGTTATAACCTTTTACCTTGAAATTGTCTTTGGCTCGTTTATATTCAGATTCAGATTCAGTATATATTATATGCCGATCGTGCACGGGAATTCAACGATCAAAATTTCGGGTTTTCAGAGTCGTACACCAAGAAAAATGCATTAACAAAACTAGCAAGAATGTATAGAGTTAGACACAATGCAAAATCCATAGAAAACAGGTACAATTCGTTGAAAATGTTAACGTAGTTGTTTGAAACATTTGCCCACTCCACGAAAGGCGGCCATTTTGAAAAGGTAAATTGGGTTTTATTAGGCAGCTCATTAATCAGTCTATTTTGTGCCTATCCACGACGATTGGAGATTGCCGATCCACAAAAAATGAATGCCGAAACCTATACTCGCCAGGGCACAGTGCCCCAGAGAGTACTAGAGAGTTTAAGTTCGACTTCCAATACCAATACCGATACCGGGAATTTTAAAGCGTTAAGTTATCACGACAGATAAAGTATAGAACACATTAATCGTCACCGAAAATGTGCGGTATACTAAACGGCAGATGAGCTAAAATTCCGGCTAAAATATGACTCAGGCGATGCTGATAAACGTATAGTTTACATGTTTATCGTAAAAATTATGAAATATCCGATTTATATGAGTTTATCTTACAATTTCCTCGACTTCCAATACAAGGCCGACTTCGGTAGTTGTGACTAATTCCAATACACTTGTCCTCGTGCTTCTTGCGAGCAGAGAGCATGCGCATGACATGTTGTTTGTATCGGTATTGGTATCGGAAGTCGAACTTAAACTCTCTAATAACAAAAAATGAACCGTAACATAACAGCTGGGCATTTTGTACGGAGCATGCGCGAAAAAATCAATATGGCGACATATATTAGGAGTGCTTCGTGGATTTATCTGGTTTTAAAGTTGATAAAACAACATTTCAATGAACGAAAACTTTGTAATATTTAGTGGAAAACATTAAGCTATGAAATCCAAAGGTTTTAGATTAAAAAGAAATACTTTTGCTTTATTTTATTGCTTTTTATGCTTTCAAAATAGGCAAGCTCATTTTTTTTGAAAGAATCTAAACTAATATTTTACCCATCATTTGTTTAATCTGAACAGAAATAGATAGAACACTTGGCTACATAAGTTATAAAGGGAATTGGTAGCTGATCTGAAAGATTTCAGTATTCCTGGTACACATTTTAACAAAGAATGACTGTAATTTTAAAAATTAAATATGCATATCAAAAACAATAGTTTTTATTAGAACAACACATAATAAGTTGTTATTTTCTATTTTTACAAAAAACAAGTTTGGAAACAAAATCTAGTCCTCCAGCTTGATGTCATATTCCATTTATTTGGATATTTGAATAAAGGAATGCGAAATAATAATTGAAACTTGTCCAAAATTTGATACCAGTGAACAGATATTATCACCTAAAAATAAAAGAAAACAGAACTTAAATTTGTCATATTAAAAAGCATCCGACAGATCGACCGTGGATTACTAATACGATAAAACTGTGGATTTCTAGACGTCAATGTGCATTCCAACAACAAGGAAAAAATTCTAAAGACTATAGTTTTTGGAGGAATAAGGTTCAACGAGCGATCCAGTCAGCAAAATCCAATTACTTTCATAGTAAGGTAGCAGATGTTGATAGAGTTAACCCTGTAAAGTGGTGGAAAGAGATTAAAAAACTATCAGGTCAAAATATCCGACAGGAATGGTATCATCAGTTCCTTGATAACAACATGGATATAGAATCCCTAGCTAATAAAGTGAACGACTTCTTTGTTAGTCTTACAGATCACTTCGCCCCTCTGAGCCAACCAACTCCACCTATGCAAATCCCGGAAGAATTCTTGGTTACGGAAAGTGAGGTGTTTAAAGCATTAGCATCACTGCAAATTAGTAAGGCGATTGGCCCTGATAATATCCCGAATAGAATCCTGAAAGAGTCAGTTGCTCCTGAACTGGCTCCAGTCATTCGTAATATTTACAACCAGTCAATGAAAGAAGCGAATATCCCATCATCACTTAAGTCATCTATCGTAATTCCAGTTCCGAAGATATCACCTCCTCAAACAATTGAAAATATCTCCGCCCAATCTCGCTTACTTCTTCAATGGCAAAAGTTATGGAAGGCTTTACTTGCACTAGATTATTAAAGGACTTGGAAGGAAAAATCGACCCTCGCCAATATGCCCGCAAAGGGTACTCAACAACAGATGCCCTTCTCTACATGATGCAAACAATTCATGAGGCATTGGACGGGGGCGAAGCTGGTGCTCGTATCTTCTTCGCAGACTTCTCAAAAGTTTTTGACCTAATTGACCACTCTATTTTAATACAAGAACTGTATAAGCTCCAGGTTCACCCTGCCTAATTTTTGCTGTCCTGGATCTCAGCCTTTTTATTCAATCGTAGGCAAGCGGTTAGAATTGGTAGTGTCCTTTCTCAATGGCAAACTCTGAAGGGAGGAATACCCCAAGGGACTAAACTCGGAGTGGTACTTTTTATGGTCATGACAAATAGCTTACTGGCTAATTGGCATCTCCGTACAAAATTCTTGGATGATACTTCAGCCCTCCGGAGATTATTCCTAGGAACTCTATCAGCCTCCTTAATTTTGCAGTCTCTGATATACATGAATTTGCTAATGAACATAACATGAAGCTCAATCCTAAGAAGTGTAAGGAAATGCTTATAAACTTCCTACATAACCCCAATTTCTTACTCCGACCAATCCAAATTGGTAACAATGCTATTGAGCGTGTGACAACGTATAAATCTTTGGGTGTCATTTTGAGTAGCGACCTAAAATGGAATCCCCATATCGAATACATTGTTAAGAAGGCTAACAAAAAACTATACCCTTTAAGAGTCCTGCGAAGAGCTGGGGTTGACCAAAAGAATTTACTGAAAGTGTACCTGCATGTGCACAGTAAGACCGGTACTTGAGTACGCCGTCCCTATTTGACAAAACATTCCGGATTATCTATCGAAGGGAATTGAGTCGGTCCAAAAACTAGCACTAAAGATCATTTTCTCGGAGAGCGAGTCATATGCGGAGGCCCTGAATTTTGCACAACTACCAACTTTAACCACAAGAAGAGTGCAAATATGTCAGAAATACATGGTCAGAATGAGGCGAGAAAACCATCCCTTATTGCCAATCCCTGTTGTTCCTGACCATGA